AAAACAAAGAACACAAAAACGCAAACAGATAAACACAAACCACAAAAACACACACCAAAAAAAACATTAAAACAAATAAAACACATTGAAAACAGTTCCTTTATAAAAAAAACACTAAAAAACACATTATAAACACACAAAAAAAAACACTCCTGATAACTTACAACCCAAATCCAAAGAGCCAATTTTAGAAGGACCTTTTCTCCAGGAACCAGCAAAAGCGCTTCTCATATTCTCAGTGCTGAATTGTGGCTCAATATCCCGAGTCCGACCTTTTTTACGGGGTTAAATTAAAGTCAAGATTTACTTAATGGGAATATTACTGTGTGTGTGTGGGGGGGGGTGTGTGTGGGGGGTGTGTGTGGGGGTGTGTGCGTGTGTGTGTGGGTGTGCGTGTGTGTGTGGGGGTGTGCGTGTGTGTGTGGGGGGGTGTGCGTGTGTGTGTGTGTGTGGTGTGTGTGTGTGTGGGGGGTGTGCGTGTGTGTGTGTGTGGGGGTGTGCGTGTGTGTGTGTGTGTGTGGGGGTGTGCGTGTGTGTGTGGGGGTGCGTGTGTGTGTCTGTGGGGGTGTGTGTGTGTGTGGGGGGTGTGTGTGGGGGGCGTGTGTGGGGGTGTGTGCGTGTGTGTGTGTAGGGGGTGTGCGTGTGTATGTGGGGGGGGTGTGCTAGTTTGTGTGTGTTCGTGGCCATTTATGTACACTCGCTCCATGTAGTACTCGTGTTGTAGTGAACATGTAGTACTAATGTTGTAAGGAATATTTAGTACTAGTGTTGTAGGAAACATTAAATTTTCATCTCTAAATTCCGTGTCTTCCATAATAATATTAATAGAAGTAGTAGTTGTAGTTACAGCAACAAAAACATAAACAATAATAATAGTAATAATTTTGTTAACTTGCACACACACACACACACACACACACACACACACACACACACACACACACCTTCACTCAGGCCTGAAACTGAACGTGAACAACTAACGTTTGTTGACATGCCAGAAACCTGCTGGGGTGACTAAAGGCCGGAGGAAGGAAGGGCTCTACACCTCCTCCCGAGAAAGTGGTGTTAATTACGATTCACCTGTTATTATACCTGACAGGAGCAACAGATGGAGCAACTATTACTTGTATAAATACCGAGGAATTCCTTTATGATATTAAAGTCTCAGGGTATTTTTGTCACATATAATTACGTGTAATTTACAGTGGTTATACACGGAATTTGCAACAGATGGTTTGCAAAGGCGGTGACTTAATGCTGTTAAAAAAATGCATAATTATAATTTAAGAATAACAAGACTGTAGTTATAAGTGATATTCTGGTCTTTGTGTGTGTGTGTGTGTGTGTGTGTGTGTTGAGTAAGAACATTAAAAACTAACGATTGTGGAAGCTGCTATTTTTGCTGGTGATCTCGTCATAACAGTAATACTAAGAGGTAGCTGCAAAGAAGAGGCCTGAGAGAAAGACCGAAAGATTTAGAGAAAAGATGGAGGTATATTATGACAAGTAACAGAACGAAAGGAAGTAAAAAAAAAATTCAACTTCTTTGCTTTTCTTTTCGATATCGATTTACTCGTCTACACTCCAATACAACTCCTGCCTTACACTTAACACACTGACACACTAACATACTCTATTTACTAATTAATTATCACAACCACTCTCTCCTCACCAGCCAGTTTTTTCGTGTATCTTTCATTCCTCTTCTCTTCCATTTACACACGTCAGTTGCACTCTCTGGAACTGCGTTATTAAATACGATCATTCATTTTTATTCACCCTCATTATATCATTATACACAAGTAATTATTATCAAATAGTTCTTTAAATTCCCCATCTACATTCACCTTCTTCACTTTGTCGACTTTTATCATTGTCTTTTCATATCTCTCATTTTATTTCGTCCTGATCCTCCTAATTATCATTATTCTGACTTCTATCACTCCATTTTCTATAGTTACTAGTTCTCTCTTCATTCTGTCATCACCAGGAGAGAGAGAGAGAGTTGTATGACAGCGAAGCAACTTACACGTATCATCTACAAAATATTTCATTCAGAGAAGAAATCATTTTAAATTGTACTGTAAATTAGCATTTCTTTTTCTTATGAGACGGAGGAAATTAGCAAACGTCGCTGTGGCTGCGAGATTATATGTCCCACAATAGCAATTATCTAGAGACTTACAGCGATAACAAGAGAGAATTTTCCCCTACACTCTACTGTTCTACTACTCGTCATTAATGTCAAACAATAATCATTTCTTAATCATCCTTTTACCATTTCTTCAATTCATCGCGTTAGGTTTCATGACATTTACTCGACTTCTCTATTACATATTAATTAACTATTTCACAGATGAGTTATACTGAAAAGTCATTATGTGTATTGATATTAAGGCCAAAAGATTGTATGGATCGTGTGAAAATTCGTCCTCACCCCCGTCACCTTATTTCATCTGATAATTAAACGCCCTAATCCTACTTGGGTTGGGTTGGGTTGGGTTGGGTTGGGTAATCTTAAGGTGAAATAGGCTATGTGGGAATAAAATTTTAGATAATCCAATTATATACAAATCAAAATCACATTAACCCATGAATTAAATTTGTCTATGAATAAGCTACACTTACTGGATATAGAAGAGGTTTTTTTGATGTACGATGTTCCGTTCATTACCATTAAGTAGGCATTAACTAATTCACAAACACACATTTCTAGACGTATTTATTATAACTTATAGAAATAATATTTAATGAAATAATGTATCAATTGATGTTATAATGTCTTACTGTGCTTCAACAACTAAGGTCTTGATGTTGATGTTATAATGTCTTACTGTGCTTCAACAACTAAGGTCTTGATGTTGATGTTATAATGTCTTACTGTGCTTCAACAACCATAAGCTATTTAAACACGTATTCTAGGCTAGTCATCAACAAATAAATTTTAAGAAAGATCTAGAATGTGTGTCTAGCTGGTGAATTGTTATGTGTCTCCTTGTATTGACTTTTAATGCTTTACCGGATACATTTTCCCTGTTGTGTTGCGATTACCTTACTGCTACACCAACACCATATGTTTCCCTGTTCGGTGTTTATTTTTTTTCCTAATGTATTCTCGTCATACTTCACTGCGTGTTCTCCACCTCTCACCTTCCTTGTTGTTGCTGCATGTAAAGGACTGACTGGCCTCTTAGTAAGTCATTCACGTACCCAGATAATGCCAGCAAATTTTAAGCTTTATAGGAATACAATGATTAAATTAGAAACAATAAAAAAAGGAATTACTCTTAGTTGTTTCTTTGTTTATGGAACTACTGGTCCTTGAACATTAAAACACGGAATGGTGATTCAAAGGTAACAGTCGGTCAGTAAAGATAATTTATTTTGGTTGCTGCTGCAAGACGATTGATGCATTTAGATTATAGAAAATATCTGATTTTTTTGCATATATGTAAATGAAAAATAGTCCGTACAATTATTAGTCAAATTCGATATTTAGTATCAACCCATAATAGTTACAAGAAAAAGCAGGTTATATACTCATAGAAAACTCCCAGGTCAAAACTACTTTTGATGACTTGTGACAGTGTATTGTAGTGTATTGTTGATGCTACAATTACTACTTCATGCCCCCTGTTTTCCTGTCGTTATTTTTAAGTATATAAATTTGTTGTACTCTGTACAAAGGAACAACGTAGCCAGTTTACACTGTAAAACAATACAGAACCAAACATTTCATCAAACAGGTTACAAAAAAACAGGTTTACTTAGAGGGGAGAGAAATACACAACCTGTCACTGGCAGAGAAAATGCACCTAGCAGGTATAATGGCAGATCTGGCAGGGCTCTTCCACGTATTGCTGTCACATATCTACAATACAATGTAGAGTTGACCAAATAAGTTCGCAGACTCAACAAATATAGGTTAGGGCAAAAGATCTGGTAACGGTGTAATAACCTCGCTTCCCAAAAACGATAAACCCGTACCAGGGTCACCAGGCACCAACCACATGACCTACCTTCTAACAGATAACATTTACGAATTTACTGTAATACAAAGCTAACCCATTCTTACTGTCTTGAAGCAAAGTCGAAACACTCGCTAAATTATTTCAGGGCATTGATGTCTGGGGGTCAACTTTCGGCTTATCTGTGACACATTAGCTGTTTATAAAATGGTTTGCAAGGAAAATAAAAAGATCACCTGAAGATTCGTTCCCCAGCTTTTTTCACCTGACGATTAACCACTCCAGCGCTACCCTAACCTAACCTATCTTTAATTGTACCTGTAAGTACACCAAACCTGTACCTGTGTTAATACTTGAGAAGCCTGTCTCCTTATATAAACACTCAAGATATTAATTTTTTTCCTATCAGTTCCTCTGTACATCTTTAGTACGTGTTCTTTATTTACTACTTCACCATAACATACATAAGGTCAACACTGAGCTACATGTCACTCACCATTACATCACTCTGTCATCTCTAGTCCTATTTGTGTGATCGACTTGTTCCGATATGCATTGATAAAAGATGAAAAACAGTGAATATTATTAAAGTTTCATCTCCCCTAACGCCTCGATATAATATACGGCATACGTGTATAATAAAGATCATTGTTAGACAAATATGAGAATATGGAAAACTCAATGGCAGTGTATCAGAATTTTATAATCAACTTTATAATAACAGAGAATTGGACGACTCCGAGAACGCAGTCCACACTAACGGGTCTCGATCGAATCCTTTATTTATAGTCAAGGTCGGAGATAACACCACCACACAACAAACAATTAAATCCCATCTATTTCATACTACTAGACGTTCTTTGGTTTTTTTACTTTATCGGTACCCAAGTCATAAAGAATAAAATGAATTCATATGAGATTTTGTATTAAGAACTGTAAGTAGTAGTGTGGGGGTGTGGTGTAGTGTGGGGGTGTGGTGTGTGTAAGTGTATGGCAAGTTGAAAGATATGGCCTTGGTGTCGGGCAGCTCGGCTTCACTCAGAAATGTGCTTCACTGTGGCTGGCAGGGGCGAGCCGCTGTGGTAGAACCGTAGAACCACTTTGATCCGGTTCCACTCTGATTGCGTCCACTGGTGATTGGAATCTGTGTACCTAAGTGCTACCTATTACCTTGAGTGGCGTGAGTGAGGTGTGGTTTGTAAGGTGCAGAGAACACGAGGAGCCCAGCGTCATGACAGAAAGTAAGTACTGTATGATGTAAGTAATCTCAGCGTCGGGACGATGTAAGCATGACGAGAACAATATACTACTTGTTATTATTCCTTTATTTCTGCTTAATTGGCAACTTTACCTGTTGCTAGGTGAGACGGGTACCTGTCCCATAACAACAGCAACGCGATACTGATGACCAGAATTTTGAAATTTTTCCTTGTAAAATATAGTTTATTATCGTGTATCTCAAACTATGATAACTTCACCATTTCTAAGTCTTTACATTCTACCCATCTTATTAGTCTCCACACTTATTATTTTCAAACTGGATTAATAAAGTTATATAGTACGAAGAAAAATCCGTCGATGTAAATATATGTATAGTTTTAAATCAATATAAATTGCGTTATTTTGTTACGCTTAACCGATTTTTATACAACTGATATTTAGTCGCCATTTCACATCTTAGTTATGTAGATTATTTTAAGATTTATTCTTGATCAGTGAGTGATAGGAAGGTGTCTCCTAAGCTACACCTTTTAGGAATATCTTCTATTACCTGTGATCTTGTGTGTGACTGAAAATAATTTTAGGATCACATTCACAATTTACCTGGAGAAGATCTAGACAGGATCACAGTGAAGATAAATACCTGAGATTGGCCTCAGCCACGACCCGGGAGGAGGACGGATTCACGTAAAATAAATATTACTGTTCGTGTAATAAATTATGTCGGTGACTTACGAGACACAACCAAGTGGCCGCCATGACATATAGTAACTTGGTCTGAGCTGATGATGCCTGAACAGATATATTTTGAATAGATAAATCATAAACAGACGACTAAATTAAGATTATCTATATTAACACATATAAACAGCTAATTTCGCCAGTTGTATGTTGGTGTTTGTATATAAAATTAATGTGTTTCTTGGCTACCACTTGCCGAACGCTTTAAACATTTTAACATAAAATTTCATAACTAAAAGTATACGTTCATCTGTATATTTGATTTGATGTTGTAAAATATTGAAAATTTTCTCAGTTCCAAGAATTTCAAGGTTTGAGGTTTGAGATTCCTGTTGTACAATAAGTTGGATTTACGCTTTTGATTTTCAGTAATGTTCTCTATAGTTTCCTCGAGACACGAATCATTTTCAAGTTTATTACATCATCAACCTCGTGGCTTAGGTGACATAAAGGAGTGTACTTTCCCCCCCAAAATGTATCGTTAGATTTTCCGTCACTTCAATGTGAAACGCAAGATGATATGTTTTCACATGATCCCCAGTGAATCATCATAAGTTGGTACGCCTACTGGCCATATCAGCAACCGCTAGAGATTGGGGGAGGGAGTCGTCCTCGTATGGCATACTATATACTTCAATATAACAAGAAATCCATTAAGCTATATTAATGTATGTTTCGTGCTGGGTAGAAGCAAGGCATATGTAAACAAGCCACTGACTGATGATCACAATACCACTGAAATATACTTTAAATGGAAGTGTTTCAACAGAGACTGAGACAGACCTCAAAACGGACATTTCACCATTACATCGTTGTAGTAACGGAGTTTCTTTCATACTGTTTCACAATATGTCTACTCATGTTGTTCATGATATGTCTGATTTATGAAGAGTTACTAAGCAAATAGTACTTGATATTACAGTGAACAGCTACAGCAATATACAATACTTGTACCTGTATATTGGTCTACAGGGGATCTGTCATGTTACTGATATGTTAAATTGCATTAGTTGAACACCACAATAACGTTTTAAGTAAAGTGATATGCAGGCAACAGAACCCCCCGTCCACCTACAATAAGACATTTGTGGCTGGAAGTGTGGCACCAGTTGTTCCATGACACCAACCCATCGAGATACTGTGGGTTCGCTCATCCCAGTCCACCTTGCTACCTCAGCGTTACGTATACCCTCGCTGTGGAGGGCAATGATATCACAACACTCACATCTAGCGGCGACGTCCCCCCGATAATTCCTCGCTCCATTTGATGTAAGATCGCGTTGATGATTGGTATCCATTTACGACATCCACTCCGAGTCATGTAATATACGATCTAAAACCTCGGAGGATTTACATCGTTCGAAAACGTATATATTCATTTATACTCAAAGGTCGCGGATGTCGAACTACCAACCGTTCAGAAACAGGTCGAGTAACATTGCTCGGAAAGCCTCGAATCACATCGACCCCGTGGCTAACGATACCTTTTGGGGTGGTGTACAGGGATAGGTCATTTATCCGTCTTGTCTGAATATGCTTGTGACGTAACTCAGATTTTGGGGACAGGTCAGTAAATACGCGAATGTACAGCTAATCCAATAAGTATCAGATGGAAGAGAAAATGAATAATAGAACAATAACCTCCGATACTCTCATGTATCGGTTGGATTATCTTGGGTTGATGTTCGTCCGATGTTTCAGATTCTTTCGGACTCCTGGAGACGAGATACTTTTTTTCGGGGGTGGGGGATTGGCTAGCACTGACTCTCTTGAAAATTTTTACAGGAAGACTTCTTGTAATTTTTCCTGAACTGTCACATTTTACAGATGTCTGACATAAGATAGTAAGACACACAGTACATCATCTTAGGTTTTTGTTAAAGGAGAATGAAATATCATGAACACAGTGACGTACAGTATAATAAGTAACAGACCACAGGAATTAATTACTTTCGGCGGAAACGAAATTACCCTCCAAAGAAATGTATTTTTGTGCATAGTTTCATTAAGCTGACGTGCATTTCATACTGGATAATTCTCATGCAGTATATTCACTTTCACTGATGCTAATTAACGCAGAGAATTTTCAAATTTTTTGCACGATGTGAGAGTAAATAACGGCTTTTCTCTGCTGAGTACTGCCGGCTGGAGTGAGAAGCCATTCACTGTCACAAAACTGTAAAATTAATCTCATTTTTAATATAAATGTTTCTGCAGCATCGTGGGGAATACTCATGGAATACACTGATATTCACTCACATAAATTACATAGAAAAAATAATATAAGACATTATTTCTGCATCTTGACATCTTTCTTATTTGCTCATTGTTTATACCTTACGTATTCGATAACAGAATACCTTTGATTTAACTTGGTGTAGGATGGTTTATTAAATTTATTAAACTCTTTCCGTTAACCTCAGAAGTTCACGTATATTTGGTGATGTAGAGCCATCGTGAACTAATCGTATTTCCTCGTGAATTAATCGTATTTATATTTCCCTAGATACGGGGAAGAAATCGTAATGTGAACCCTTGGTCAGTATGGCTTCTGTTCGGTGTAGAAACTCGAAGCTTGGAGGAGCCGAGGTCGTGGGAGTAATTTTCTCTCAAGTCAGCCAATCAAGAAAATGCGTTCATAGAGCTGACTGACACAGTTAGAAATTTCATCACAACTATCCAACAATAGAGAAATCAACGACGGCTACCAATTCTATCTCTGTCTAACGTCAATAGCAATTTTTGTTCGAGTCGTTATCATACCGAGTGGAATTGAATGACACTAAAGGGTTTGAATTCTATTGTAACATTTCCATGGATTTTTTTTTTCGGCATGAATGTATTTTTCATTTCCTCGAACAAGAATAAAAAAAATTAAATTCCTCTAACTTTTTTTTTTTACTAAACAAACAACAGTATTTATCCCTGAGCCTTAATAGTTAAAATACTTAAAAGTGGAGTTTGGTTATGAGACAGGATTATAACATGTTGTGGCTTATAGTTGTAGTTAAGAGTCACTCTGTGTTTACCTTAGGGTCTGATTTGTTAATACAGGTGGGTGAGAAATATCAGACATGTGACTAATTCCACTCTCAGTATTAATAACGTGTAGATTTGTACCTCAACTGAATATATAATTTACGTGTGTAATATATATGGTGTATGTTGTGTAGTATGTATGATGTACAGTATGTTGTGTGTGATGTGTATTGTGTATGATGTGTGATGTGTATGGTGTATGTTGTGTAGTATGTATGATGTACAGTATGTTGTGTGTGATGTGTACTGTGTATGATGTGTGATGTGTACTGTGTATGATGTATGTTGTGTAATATATATAATGTATGTTGTTTAGCATGTACGATGTATATTGTGTAGCATATATGATATATGTTGTGCATGATGTATTTCGTGTAGTACTGTATGTTCTGTATGTGTATGATGTATGGTAATAAAGGAAAAATCTCATGTAAGTTTATAAAATACGTCAATTTATTTCTCTCGCCGTTATAATCATTAATTATTTATTACTATTTAGGCTATAAGTGCGGCGGTAACCCAGGTCCACCCTACTATCAGTGAGTACTTAATTTTACAGTTAAGGAAGTAGAAGGTGATCGAGTGCAGTATCGACCATGCTGCTTCCTCGTTCACAGAGAATAGGTTTGGTCACAGCTGCTAACCTTACAGTACCAATATTATGTTACAAAAAACACTACTTCTAACATATCAATAACAATTAGTTAACAACACACTCTAAACTTAACAGCAAGACTAAAAGGCGCACCTAACTTAACAGTAAGTACCATCAGTAATTTAACAAGACAACACCTAACTTAATAATAACAGTAAGTTAACAACACTACCAGCAACTTCACATCACCACCACTGTCACCCACCTTGAAGCTAAGTAATGGAAGTAAACCAAGTGGAAAACATAAATTAAACGCCAGGAACATAAGCGTCTCTGGTGCAGCGCCCTGTTGGACTCCGTACACGACGCGCCACTCAGCAGGGAGGTTGGCCCCTTATAATACTAGGTGGTTACAATCTCTCTCTCTCATGATTGACAAAACATAATATATAACGTGGGACTGAAAGTAAATATATTTTCATATTGGATCATGAGAATATTGTCGTCGCATGATAATGTCAAATGAATCAGTCGCCTCATTTCATCTCGTTTTATTCGCCCTGGCCTCATAATTTATAATTAATCTGTTTATTTTTTAATTGATAAATGAGAGTATATATTTATTATTAATCTAATTTATTTATTCATTAGTCTCTGACATTTTTCCCTGTTAGAATTATGTTATGTAGTGTAATTCAATATATTCGTTATACATTCAACGAAGTTCCCAGTCATGATGATTTTTCTGTAGAGTATTGAATAGGGTCACCTTAAGGTTTAGGTCCCCAGCATCATTCACCTAAAGATTATCCAAACTAACCCAACTAATGAAATTAAGCTAACCTAACCAAAACTAGCTAAACTAATAAAAAATAACCTAACCAAACAAATCAAACTAACCTCAGGTAACATTAGGGTGGTTAAACATCAGGTGAAATAAGCTGGTGTTGGCCAGTTATCAGGTGATCTATTGAATATATAGAATTTAATAACTAGAGAACAGTACACTCCTATATGAGAGAAACTTCGTCGGCCATCACGTATAGAGTATTTCTTTTACAGTAACGGAACAAGTCTCTAACTAGGTGTATCTGGTGTTATCTCAGGCAAAGTCAACATATGGAGATCTGTCCCTAGATCATATAGTCATTAAAATCATATTCTTCGTTGCTTAAGGCGGCGGATAACATGTACACTGGTAAAAGTTGTATTAATATTGATGTTAAGATGCATTACTAAGCTTCAATAAATAAGGTCTTTGAGTTAATGCACTAGTCATCAAATAATAGAAGTTATGAGAAGTATATTTTTCTTCATGATAAATATTATGGAGGTTACGGCCGCTGTTAAGAATCGGGTCCATCTTATCAGATATTTATTTTTATTCACTAGGTGATAGGTTAAGTCTCTCAATTAGATAATTGACTCTTAATGTTGCCAATGTTTTGTCTTCGAAGGTGGTCAGTCGCCTGCAATTATGCCTGGTACAGTGGTTGGCTCGTTTTGTGAGGTGTGGCAACTCTGTTTTGTTTACATCGTATTAGAAGTCTCGGAATAGCCAGGGAACCTCGCAACAGTTCCCAGACTATAAGGATGCTAGATAAACATTCCACAAGGCTGCCACATCTCACAAAACGCGCCAGCCACTGTACCAGGTGAAAGTGCAGGCGAATGTACGTGTGAGAAGTTTGTTGCGTGAGAGACGTTCATAAAAATACTGTAATTGGGAGTTGACTAAAGGGATTAGGTACGTTAATTACAACCAGCATAACAGAGAAACTACAGCACGACATACAGTTTGAAGTGGATGTAGACCGTATAAGAGACCCGCCTGACATCTAAGTTCAGGGTTACGATTGACTATGTCTATCTCTATGTATGTGTTCTATTGCAGTCGTGTTATGCTCCGCTCTTAAATTAATAATCATGTTAAGATGTCAGTACCCAAGGTAGCTCACTAAACGAGGAAACACACACATGAGAAGACAGTCAGTACCTAGAGGGTATCATACAACGACAGATTGCCTGAGACAGAAATTAATACGAGTACATGTACGGATATTATGTTACGACACTGCTGCTTTTAACAGACAGGAGACAGTAGTTACAAGAACTCGTGGTAGACGGTAATATCAACAATACATATTTTAAGAGGAGAGAGACTTATAGAAAAACTAGCTACAGAGTTACCATTGAGATGACAAGTCCCCAGAAGATTGTTGTGTAACATGTTGAAGGATACAACACCCTGCACACAACACGAGTTACTACCAATTCAATCCAGTTAAATATATAAAGCTTAAAGCCTCATGAACTAAGCTCTATGATCGTTCTAGATAAATAAATAGACGGGATAATTAAAAGTAACCATTTATACCGGGTAGCTTGTTAGGTCTTGTTGGTACGGTGTCTAAATATGTGTATTGTTAGAGACAGAAATGTTGAATATTTTCTTCGTCTTCACATCCCCACCACCTCTAAACTCTGTAGCTGAATACGATTTACTTAGCTTTGTGATCCGCGAATATTATTATCAACCTCAGCACGACTTTGGTGGAGGCTGTTGAGTTTTACCACCACAGTCTCTCTCTCTATCTCTATCTCTCTCTCTCTCTCTCTCAGTGGTTGTTAGCGCAAGTTAGCCTCATAAGGTTCACTAAGGCAAGATAACAAGGTAAGGGTAATTAACAACTCCCATAGCCCGTGTCAGCCCACTCACACTATGCCCAGAGGGATAGAACCTTAGTGCACGAGTCAGTACTGTAACCCATCGACCACATTGTCTTATGGTACTACGATCTCTATATCACATATCTATGGTGAAAATTGATGTAGAATGAATCAATATAGTCATAAATGTGCAGGAATATATGTATGATAAAGAATGAACGATAAGATAGAAATACTCAAAGATAAAGAATAATAATGCTATATTTAAATACATAATACACATAGTTGCTGGTTAGTATCATTGTCTTACTATTCGTATAGAATTGTAATCACCCCGAACTCTTAACAACGTTGGTATTTATCTCTGCTATGCAACCTTGATCTAGACCAACTATCACAAACATAATTTTTTTTCTGCAGCGTCCTATCTTTCTCAACACACACACACACACACACACACACACACACAAACACACACACACACTACATACATTACATACATACATACATACATACAAACATACATTACATACATACATACATACATACATTACATACATACATACATACATACATACATTACATACATACATACATACATTACATACATAAACGAGTTCAATTAATCCAACAGGTTTAATCTTCAGGGTCTGCTATTTACAACACTAAGCGGCAGGTTATAACAGGTATGCTATTGTGCTCATTAAGTACTGTGTTGCGTAATGGGAAACTCTTATAGTAAATTATAGAACGTTGAAGCCTCCTTGTCCCTGAGCGTTTAGTCTAGAGGGGGGGAAGAGACGTAAGGAGCCTCAGATAATAATGGTCGTAACACAGTGGGATGGTGAGAGAGAAACAGTGGGATGGTGAGAGAGAAACAATGGGATGGTGAGAGAGACACAGTGGGATGGTGAGAGAAACAGTGGGATGGTGAGAGAGAAACAGTGGGATGGTGAGAGAGAAACAGTGGGATGGTGAGAGAGAAACAGTGGGATGGTGAGAGAGACACAGTGGGATGGTGAGAGAGACACAGTGGGATGGTGGGAGAGAAAAGACAATGGGATGGTGAGAGACAGTGGGATGGTAGGAGAGACACAGGGGATGGTGAGAGAGAGACAGTGGGATGGTGAGAGAGAAACAGTGGGATGGTGAGAGAGAGACAGTGTGATGGTGAGAGAGACACAATGGGATGGTGAGAGAGAAACAGTGGGATGGTGAGAGAGACACAGTGGGATGGTGAGAGAGAAACAGTGGGATGGTGAGAGACACAATGGGATGGTGAGAGAGACTGAGGTAAATTATGTAATAGTATTGTTGATATTGTGAGTGTCTCCTGTTACGTGCACTCTCCAAACTCATTCTTAAACTATTGTGTTCTATTGCTGGGGATATTGATGCTGTTTAATTATCTCTAGTCGAAATATTAAACACATTAACAATGTAGAAGGTAAAGTTATTTCCACCGTTTGAATTAAGAGTACTCTACGCCGTTCTCTTTCACAAACAACTTTAGGCGTAGTGTGATTTCCTAGTATCACTTCTACTAAATATTTCGGAGAAGGAAATATTAATTGCACACTTGATATAATGCGATTTTTGGTGATAAATGTCTAGAAACTCTCTATCGCCAACCACTGTAGGTTAAAACAAGGTAGAGACCTCAGGTTAAAACAAAGTAGAGACCTCAGGTTAAAACAAAGTAGAGACCTCAGGTTAAAACAAAGTAGAGACCTCAGGTTAAAACAAAGTAGAGACCTCAGGTTAAAACAAAGTAGAGACCTCAGGTTAAAACAAAGTAGAGACCTCAGGTTAAAACAAAGTAGAGACCTCAGGTTAAAACAAAGTAGAGACCCCAGGTTAAAACAAAGTAGATACTTTAGGCTAAAACAAATTAGATAACTCAGTATTTTTTTTCGTGTTTTGACTCATCAGCATTGAATTAAAGGATGGATTTCCAAGAAGCCAATATAAAAATGTTTCTAAAAATGTGAGTATTTATACTTAATTTCAAAATATATTATCTCTCTCTTTTATTTTCCTTCGTATAAATAAAAGGTAAAGTAAAGCGTAGGAGGGATGGGATCTAGGCCAACGTAGATTTTCTTTACATTACGTATTTAATTTTTTTTTCCTCACGAATATCAGTGAGATTAAACAGAATTTTGTGCTTCTCAAAAAAAAAGTAAAAAAAAAGTTGATTGTCCATTTTAAGTGATGAAAAAGTAGAAAAAATGATGACTGCACACACACACACACACACACACACACACACACACACATACACACACACACCATCACAGTTAACGTGGATGGGAGTTAATATTTGATCGCCTAAAGTAAACATAATTTGCACATCACAAAGAACTTAAAAGAGTTAAAGAAAAACACCTAGTGTAAGATTTGCTGTACAATAATTAGGAACAATTTTTAACACAGTATAACTTCATCCAACACTCCGGGTAAGTTCTAGGTGAAAGCATTTAAACAACCATGAGAAATAATTAGCCTTCATAAAGTATAATTGTAATATATAGGATAAATAACTTTGGATCACCTAAATATTCCCCTCCCCCCTCCCACACAGTTTATTTTACGTGAAGATTAACCACCCAAACGTTAACTTAACTAACCTGGGTTAACCTAACCTAACCTCCCCAAGTATAGGGAAAGTAATCTTCACTGGACAAAGGTAAGGGTGATCAAGTGATCCTAAAAACATGCCCACTTTACTTTACTTTCTGTTTTTAACTTTACACTTAGATAATCTGAGCCACCCACTTTACCACGCTGCACACCATTTATAAAGTAACTCTCACGGTGTGGGGAGAGTGAGTAAAGTTGTTCACTTCCCGGCAGTCTTGGAAGCGGATGTGGTGGTGGTGGGCGCAGGTGTACATGGCAGCAGCGCCGCCCTTCACCTAGCCAGAGCAGGACGAATCACCATCCTCCTCGACCAGGTATGTTAGTTCACCATCATCAAGTACAGTCTAGGAAACAACTATCTTCCTAAGTTTGGGAGAAGACATCGAGGAAATGTTGAGCCATCCGAGGCAGGCATCTGTGTACCCCGTAACAGGATTTCCATTTTTTTTTATTCTTTAAGCCACTAAATTGCTTACATTCGGTTTAAATTAAGTAGATATTAGCAAAAAGAGCATTTATAAACACAGAAGCCCGGGGACATCTGGCCCCCGCGTGGGTCGAGGTCGACGAGCATTAAAAATAAATAAATAAATAAATAAAAACATTTATATCTGGTGTAGGTATTTAAGTATATGTCATAGGTATATACTGCAGTAACAACATAATATAAAGGACAAATAATTTGATATATATATATTTAGTTTCAGGGTTCATTTTGTTATTTATAACGACAATATTTATTAATAATAGTGAAGTTGGTTTAGGCTTTCTGTGAAACTCTCATGTATACAATATGATGAATTACATGATCGCCTATGGCCAGACAGTATTTTAAAAAAGACATAGAAGTTACGGATATTACCCGGTAATATAAAGTGTCCTCATTCAACAATATAATAGTTAGTCCACTCTTCGAACCATCAATTGAAGCTTGTATCTAGCCAGGCCTACCAACTGACCAGATATAGTCACAGTTACGTTTTCAGCTTAATCCGCCAGGTTTCAATTTTTTCTTCAAACCTAAGACGTGTAGTAGAACAGTGTTACCAAACTTTATCACCAAAACCTCCTGCCACCAACACCCTTCACGGCTACAACCTACTCACTCAACACACTCAACACTCAACCAAGAAGCAAGCCTGCATGCAACACAACCAACCAACAACCCCTTATACAAGGAGGTCAACACACCCTTATATAACATTATAACAACAGACATAGCGAATGAGCTTTCCATCCCTTGTCATTATTATATTGTAAATCTGTCATCATTAGCATATTATATATACTCCCTAATGATGATTTTCTCGTCTTTGTCTGCAGTCTTTTATCATCACATCAACCCCTTAATTATATCTCATTAACTTTGAGTGTATCAACTTTTACACCAGTTAATGATGTTTTCACTTTCTTATTGTTAAAAATCAGTGACTTTCAATACCTTCGTTACTTGCTTTTGTGTCTTATGTGATAATTGAAGACTTTAAAATTGTATATATTGTGTTGTATTGTCTTATATCGTACGTTATAATGAGGTGAGGTAAGGTTAGATAACAGTTAACACTCATATTTTATTCTCAATCCTTAACATATATATTCTTAATCCTAGGAAACGTCCAGGGATAACCTACAAACACAAGCAAAAAACACAACTACACTGAAAGATAATACCACGTAGGAAATTTACCGTCACACACACCACCCAACAAAATGAGGTTAATATCGCTTGGCAGGTAACTGGGTGACTTCCCTAACATGCAATAAAACAACGCGAACATAACGGAGCTTTGAAACATACACCTTAGTAATTCACGAGACATAAATGTGACCTAAATTCTCTCCTCCCGGAAGACGACACACTGGTAGCTTCTTTGCACCTTACACAGTTTTATAAGACGGTTTTAGAAGACTCTAGTATCTTATAACTACACTATATTATATGAGGAGAGTCTATAATCTCCTTTAGGTCAATTTATATAAAGATTTTTCGGACAAGATTTGTGGGAATGAAGGTTAGGTTAGGTTAGGTTAGGTTAGGGAGTTAATCCTTAGGTGAAATAAGCTAAGGTGGATGTTCTTCAGGTGATCTAAATTATTACTGTAGCAACGAAAATTCGTACTAATGTGACTTGATTTACTCTGGTACATTTGAGACGTCGTTTATTATTACCATCACCATGACAGTTCCCGCTGCCACATTCACGAGGAAGCAGCCACGGCCAGAGTCGTATCATCCGCCAGGCTAACTACGGCATCCCCGCCCTCACCACCATCATGACTGACGCCGTCACCCACTGGCGCCGCATCCAGGACCAGGCCGGAGAAACCCTCATCAGGTACATCCTTAATTAACAGGTGTCCATAGTCATTACCTTTTGTAGCTACCATGGGTCACCTCTCTCTCTACCATGGTCACCTCTACCATGGGGTCACCTTCACCATACACCTCTCTACCATGGTCACTCACCTCTCTCTATGGGTCACCTCTCACCATCTCTCTCTCACCATGGTCACCTCCTCCTCTCAGATACCATAATTTTAACTTTATAATTAACCATTTATTCGAACAATCTTACTCAGTTCGCTTATCTAAAACAGTGAATATTTATGTAACTTGTACTGGGAAGTTATGTAATACAAACATGTTTTTATTTCTTGTTTTAATAATATGAGAATTCTTTAAGTCTTTCTGGCTGTGTGTGTGTGTGTGTGTGTGTGTGTGTGTGTGTTGTACAGGCCATCGTCCATGTTGTTGCTAGCAGAGGGACACCAGCGGGCCCTGATGGAGCGTGTTGCCAACTCAGTGAAACAAGGCGGCCACCAACCTCTCTGGCTTACACCTCAACATGTCAACCATAAATACGGGTTAGTGGAGCCGGATTTTTTTTTTTTTGCTTTTGGGTTCTGTTGATTGGTTCTTACAGTATGACATCATTTAGTCAAGTTGCCTCCACAAGTTACAATTACTCCTGACACTCTAACCTAACCTAACCAAATCGTAATATAACCGAACTTGCTTTAATCAAACGCATCTTAATCCAAGCAACTTAAACAATACCCTCAAATAATATCAATATGTGTAGTTTGGTGAGATACTCCTGTGACCTCAACCAAGAGAACAGGTGTCTAGGGAGGTCACAAGGCTACTATCGTTCTAGAAAAGGAATTATAGTTTAAAAAAAAAAGTGAAAATCAATGTGAGGAAACTGCCGCGATGAGTAGTTTGGCTGGCAATTGACTAATTTCTGGTGTGTAATGTAAACAAAACATATGTATGAGCTGCGTTGGTAAATATTCAAAATAAATGTGATTTTCATCCTTATTTCTCCTCAACGTTATAATAAATATTACCCCCCCTCCCCCCCTCCCCTGCCCCCAACAAGCGTGAAGGGAGAGGGAGGGGAGGGGAGATGAATGAGAGGGAGGGGAGGGGGTGAAGAGAGAGGGAGGGGAGGAGGGATGAATGAGAGGGAGGAGTGGGAGGGATGGATGGTGAGGAATGCCGTCATACCACAGTGTTACCAAAGTTGGACTAGAATGAAAAATCACAACATTGCATAATTCTTGCAAATATACAGACAAACTTAGAATTTATTTCAAAAGTTTTCTTAATTTTTTGCTAGGTTTAATTTAATTACATATTGTGGCAGTCATATTTGTTTTCCTATCCAGGCTGTAACTTTGCAAACTTGAAACTGAATATTTATAAATATTTCTTCAATTTGCATGACGATCAATTTATATTTACATATATTGGTCGTCAAATACTTTATGCCCTCTCTGGTAAACAATATTTTCAACATTTATACTAATTTTAAGAAAGTAAAGACCCTGTAGGCTACGTGAAGACATTACTGTTTAATAGCTATGGGGGGTTATAAAAATGTCCTAATAGCATTGGAACACTTCTACAGTATTCAGTACTTGCTAATGCCACTGTACTAAATACCTGTATAGTAAATCTTTACAACCCGGGCCTAGAGCAGATTTTACCAATGCAGTTAATTGACTGGCGGATGGAAGGAGCGAAGGAATAATCTAGGGCTCCTCATTCTTTATTTTCTTTATATTCTACAATTGTACGTAATAATAATATTTCAGTGTTGATCTAGAATAATATCCGAAGCTGAGGAAGTAAAAATTAGCTAGTGATCACCTTGATAACGTAGATATCTTAAAGTGAAGAGGAAAGTTATAAACTACCAGAGGTGTTTGCTGTTAAACCGCCACCCCCACGTATTGTACTGTATATGTACCCGGCGGGACTCGACCAATCACGAGTTTCCTTCGATTTGGTCCAATTGCAAGCTTGAAGTGAACTCAGTATAGTGGCCCTAACACACGCTCGCCACACACAAATAAGTACACATGCACTCACACAAGTATGCATTCACACCTGCGCTCACGCACATACACTAATAATAATAATATTATTAATATTAATATAACAAAAGAGACAAACACTGCAACAGTGTCCGGGATGGACTCGGTCAACACAGGACCAGGACGAGTCCGCTGCCAGTTTAACTGCGACGCTTCTGTGTTAATGAAGACTAAAACTGTCACCTGTCGTCACACACACAGTCTCACACACACACACACACACACACACACACACACACACACACACACACACACACTCAGTTACACACACACACACACTAACACACACACACACACACACACACACACACACACACACACACACACACACACACCTCCCCCTCCAGGTAGTTATAGACCTTAATGGCCACTAATAGCTTAACACTTCGAACACAAGAGTGCTTAAGGGTTAACCTTACTCTTACATGCTGATATTACTCACGTGCAGAATCGTACATGGTGACATTACTCACAAGCTGACCTTTAACCCATGGGACATAGTACTTGTTTCAGATACCTTTGAGCTGATAACCCACGTACTCGTTTGTCTAAAATGTCTGAGACTCTGATATGACCCCCGACCCAGGAGCCAATGTCTGTCTGTTTAAAATGTCTAAGGCACAAGGCACCTTTGACCTGGTTCTCCTCCAGGGTGAAGACGTCGCCTGATAGTTTGGCTCTTCTTGACCCCAGCGCTGGAGTCCTCATGGCGGATAAGTGTGTGGCGGCTCTACAGGTGAGTGTGTGGGGTAGTCTCTAAGAGTGTGTGTGTGTGTGTTTGGGAAGGCTCTCCATGCCTCTCTGTTTGTCTGTCTGTCTGTCCATGTACTTATCTACAGCGTTTGTTCTTATGACAGCCGTGTAGAGGACGTGCCAATCGATGGAGGCAAAGTTCAGGATCGTCGTCCAACTGATCACCAATAATTCAACCGTAAAATAAGAAGGTGTTATGTCGTGATTAAGACGAAATACTGGGAAACGAAACAAGGAAACGGGAATGATTCATAAGTCTGTTAGCTTTTAATCGATATATAGGATAACCCGTGTCTTATTGTTCTAGTTAGGTTTAGTGTTCGTCCATTTGTTTTTAAAGGAACCCTCAGATAAACCTGACACGTGCTCTTAAAAATTTAAAGTTATCGATAAAAGGTGAAAACAATTTTTGTCTCCATTCACTCAATGGACCGTAATACTGAGGATTCAATATAAAGTGATCAAGTGCTATTTGAAGTATATTGAGACAATGTTGTATAATCCTTGTGATACTTGAGTTTTCTTTGTCACGTTATGATGTTACTTGAAGCCAATAATGTTCCGTGTTTCTTGTTACTGCATGATTTAACTTGAAGCCAATGAACAATAATGCTATGTGTTTCTCCAGAATTTCTTATTTTTCTTCAAAGTAATACAAAGACGTTCCCAAGTGTACTACGCCCTCACTTGTGAATTTCTCCAAATGACTGTGCTTGGGGTATTCAATGTTACAAGTTAGTTCAAATTAAACGAGACTTGAACATGTTACTTGTATATAATATAAGTAATTACCTCGGTACACCCCACAAACGTAATCTGTACTTAGTGTTAATTAGATTCACTGATTGTTTATGTATGCAAGTGTTTAAAACTATAAATAAAGGAAAATTAGTAGGATCCAAGATTATAAACTGATAAGAGAATTATTGATCAAATTTTAAAACAAATGAACTTCTACTTAATTCTACTTATACGTCAGCTTCACTTAATAGATAATAAAGTCATCAGTTTAGTTACTTATAAACATTAAATCATGCACTTAACCTTAAACTTTACCTAATTTGAAAAGAATATTCGATTTGTAGACCAGAAAGTATTTTATATAAGAGGAAACAAAAGACGGATGATGCGGGCGCCATTGTAAACAAATACAATTTTTATTACAGTACTTCCTGTCGTTCTTCTTCACATAAGGTAAAATGCTCTGTCGAAATAAAATTATACATGCGTGTTGTGCGTTTTTATGCCTCTATGTCTTTGTAAGTGCGTGTGCGTGTGCGTATGTTTATGTGTGTGTATGTGGATGTGTGTGTGTATTTGGTGTGAAGAGCCAAAAAGGTAATGCAGATCTCAGTTACTTTGCCTCTTATATACACGTACAGTCACCCAAAAAAGTCCTGTCGCGAACCATGAACCCCGAGATTCAGACTCGTGAACCCGAAGCAGTAGACACTGATACATTATTCTGTTCATAAATGCTTCGGATTCAAGAGTCTGAATCTCGGGGTTCGTGGTTCGCGACAGGACTTTTTTGGGTGACTGTACAATACTAAAGTCTTCTGAATCACATCAACTACTCTCTCTCTCTCTCTCTCTCTCTCTCCACATTTCACGACCCACCTTCTAGAAAACCCAACTACAGCTAAACCTCTAATTAGTGGGTTATGTGGTAACTTAAATCCGTTACATTCAGTTCGCTATAGAGAGGATTCCCTTACGTGTAAAACCCCTTACCTCTCGGATTACATGGAGAGAGGTCCGTTATTATGGAGGTTTCACTATATGTTCCTACAGCGACTGTTCCGAGAGGCAGGTGGGAGGATCGTAGACACCTGGCCGGTAGATGACGTCCAGGTAGCGGCCGACGAGACAGTACGAGTCACCGGGCGTCGAGGTGTTGTGAAGGCGGAGGCTGCTGTATTGTGTCCAGGGCCTTGGGCGGGGCCTCTCCTAGCCAAGTTGGGTGTTCATATACCTCTCAGGTGAGTACAGACGCCTATTATCAATCATTTTATCCATCCATTCATTCAACCGTCCGTCTATCCATCTATCTATCCATCTAATTATGTATCTGTATAACTATCTATCTATCTACAATATCTATCTGTATTATCATCTATCTATCTATCTATTTAACTATCTATCTATCTAATTATCCATCCGTTATTCATTTATTTGACTAATGTTCACCCTATTGTATAACTATCTACCTGTAATATATATTTGAAAACCCTCCCACTGTATATAATCTTAGCTATATCCACTTCTTCTATATATTATGTCTACTGTAACTAACCACACCAGTTAGTAAATCTATATATCTATCCATTCCTGTTATATATCTATCCATCATGGTAGTTATGGTAGCACGTTAATCACAGTATTCATAGTAGTCTTATCAACCATGGTGGTAATGGTAGTACGGTAAACATGATAGTAATGGTGGTATGGTAATCATGGTAGTAATAGTAGTAAGGTAATCATGGTAGTAATAGTAGTACGGTAATCATGGTAGTAATGGTAGTATGGTAATTATAATATTCATGGTAGTACGGAAATAATGAAGGTATATCAATTACAGTATTCATGGTAATATATCAATCAATCTAGTAATGGTGCTACGGTAAGAATGGTAGTAATGGTAGTACGGTAATCATGGCAATAATGTTAATACGGTAATCATGGCAGTAATGGCGGTACGGTAATCATGGTAGTAATGGCAGTATGGTTATGGCAGGGTAGAGAAGATATCCGTGTTCTACTGGCGTATAAAAGACCCAGCCAACAACACCACTACTACTACCATCTTCGTCGACCTCAAACCCAGTGGTCACTTCTATGGTTTACCCGAACTGGAGTACCCGGGTCTTATGAAGGTCAGTACCCGGAGTCTTATGATGGTCAGTACCCGGAGTCTTATGATGGTCAGTACTCGGGTCTTATGATGGTCTGTACTCGGGTCTTATGGAGGTCAGTACTCGGGTCTTATGATGGTCTGTACTCGGGTCTTATGATGGTCAGTACCCGGAGTCTTATGATGGTCAGTACCCGGAGTCTTATGATGGTCAGTACCCGGGTCTTATGAAGGTCAGTACCCGGAGTCTTATGATGGTCAGTACCCGGAGTCTTATGATGGTCAGTACTCGGGTCTTATGGAGTCAGTGAAGGTCAGTACCGGAGTCTTATGATGAGTACCCGGAGTCTTATGAAGGTCAGGTCTTACTCAGTACTCGGGTCTTATGATGATCAGTACCCGGGTCTTATGATGATCAGTACCCGGGTCTTATGGAGGTCAGTACTCGGGTCTTGTGAAGGTCAGTACTCGGGTCTTATGAAGGTCAGTACTCGGGTCTTATGATGGTCAGTACTCGGGTCTTATGATGGTCAGTACTCGGGTCTTATGATGGTCAGTACTCGGGTCTTATGAAGGTCAGTACTCGGGTCTTAAGATAGTCAGTACTCGGGTCTTATGTATACAGTAGACTCCATTTGTTATTTACTGTATATTTACGCACTAAAATTCATTATTCTAACTATTTTCACGTAATATAATCAATACCACTTTTATTATCTAATTTATTCTATACTGTTCTATTTTCAGCAATAAAATGACAAAATATTACTTAACACAATGACTCAATTTTTTTCAATGTTTTCTTTTTATTTTATTAATTTATCTCTTTCTCTTTATTTCTCTTCATTATTTTGTTTTTTATTCATGTTTCTCATTTGACCACCTGTTCCTCTCGCCAGCTGGTACTACACACAGGCCCAGAGGTACAGCCTGACCAACGGGACCAGGTGAACTCTGAGAAGGTGAAGGAGGCGGTGAAGAAGTATGTGAAGGAAAAGTTCCCCTTCCTGCACCCTGAACCGGCCCTGGAGGAGAGCTGTATGTACACGGTCAGTACCTCACCACGGCAGTACCTTCGCTATATTACATTTTGGACACGGGCAGTACCTCTTCTATATTACCTCCTGTACACGGGCAGTACCTCCACTATATTACCTCCTGTACACGGGCAGTACCTCTTCTATATTACCTCTTGTACACGGGCAGTACCTCCACTATATCACCTCTTGTACACGGGCAGTAACCTCCAACACACATACACTACCTTTTCTATTGTGTTGTATCTCCAGCCACTTGCCTACAAATCAAACGTCATGACTTTTAATTATGAATCGTAAACTAGTCCGGATACTTCCAGAGCCCCGCCCAGTCCTCAGCCTACCCGCTCTCATTTTGCTCACGGTTATAACACGAGTCTTCACCCAACGTTACAACACTACACTAATTACATTTTGTCTCAGATTTTTTCTTAATTGGATTGATAAGGAATAACAATGAATTAAATCTCATATCTTGGTTAACAAACAATTAATTCCTATATAGAATCTTAGTATCATCTGAAGCTTAGACACACACAGCTTATTTTACCTGAAGGTTTTGACATCCCAGCTTATTTTACCTTTAGATTTTGACACCCCAGCTTATTTTACCTAAAGATTAATCACCCTAACCTAACGTTAATTTTACCCTAACTTAACTCTCCCAGGGTGATTAAGCTTCAAGTGAAATAAGCTGGGGTGTCTAATCTTCAAGTGAAATAAGCTGGGGTGTCTAATCTTCAAGTGAAATAAGCTGGGGTGTCTAATCTTCAAGTGAAATAAACTGGGGTGTCTAATCTCAAGTGATCCGAATCTTCTAAAAAAATATAACCAAACTTAATTGTTTTTTATCTCACAGCTTGTCAAGCCATCACCGTCATCATGGACCCTAAACACAAAAAAAAAATAATGACCATCATTTTGATATATAAATGCTTACATAAAACTCAAACGAGCGTCTTTACTCTGCCTAGTGACAATGTTTAGAGGGAGCACTGCCTTGTGATTAGAGGCCAAATTCTATTAAAATTTTACAATGAAGGCCATATTTCAGTCCGAGATTAATAATGAAAGGCATAATTCAGCCAAAAGTTACATTAACAGTATAATGAGATACACCATAACGTGTGGCAGCTAATAGTTCGGAAATGAGGTCACTGACACGTGGTTTAGTGGTGATGGTGATGATGGTGGTGATGGTTGTAGAGGTAGTGGTGGTGATGGTGGTGGTTGTTGGTGATGGTGATGATGATGATGATGATGATGATGATGATGATGATGATGATGATGATGATGATGATGGTGCTAGTGGTAGTAATGATGGCCCCATGATAATAAAAACAATATTTTTTTTTTTTTAACAACGGTAACTTATTTCAACAGGAGTGACCCATCCCTCCCCCCACACACACACGCGCATTATGGCCAGGGTGTATTGGTCGTATTCCTCAGCAATAAAGTCGTTTAGAAAATATTGGACTTTGCTCTATATTTAAACTTTTTTGCACTGGAGAGAAGCTGCTCTATGGCTACCCAGAGTTGAGACACAAGAGTTTGGATATCCTAAAAGTAGCAATTATGTCATTATTTCCCTTAAGAGTAATTCCTATACACAAAAAGATGTATTTGTTCGTTATTCCAGTTATTACTAAATGGTCTGTCAGCCCAGTGATCTCGTCAATTATTATCAGATGTAGCAAAATATTCTGATGGTACTCATGATAAATGGACTATGGAAGTTAGTCCTTAGACCTCGCCAACTCGTGCGTCAGTCCTTAGATCTCGCCAACTGGATCATCAGCCCTCAGACCTCGCCGACGGGACGAGAACTGTGGTAATGAGGCAGCTGGCGGCACAAACAATCCTCCCGTCAACCCGTAAAAGACCCGATAAGTTTCCTCAGCCTCTGGGATTAGACTTCTTGTTTATTGGATAGAGCGAGTCTGTCCTGTGTGTGTGTGTGTGTGTGTGTGTGTGTGTGTGGCGTGTGTGTGTGCGAGTCTGTCGTGCTTGTGTGTGTGTGTGTGTGTGTGTGTGTGTGTCACCCTGGTAAGAGCTTCAGTTGTCTCCAACTCCTCAGGAAATACATTGGATTCATTCACGTCATTCCCAACTAGAGATAAATATTTGGAACTGTTTCAACGGGATTATACACACATAAAATATCTAGCATTTCAGTTCTATTAATAAAAACCTCAACACGCATTAGTCAGAAAGTTACTATTAACATTTGGATTTTTTTCTACGTAAGTTTTATCAATTAAGCGGGATTAATTATACAGTTATAGCCTAAAAGAATGATTATATGTCTATCCTATAATACGCACTTAAAGACCTTAGTTATTCAAGCAATACATTATTATATTATAGCATTATAATCCCAACTACATTGTCCTTAACTCAGTAAATATTCAACAAAAAATTAACTGAAGACTTAACATAGAGATCATACAGTACTACAGCATACACAGGAGTCGTTCATACCTCCCCAGGGTTCTGTAGCTCCTGTAGTGAACAAAACCATTTTTTCTCTTAACTAATCATCACTTTTTTTTTTTAGTATACTGAAGAAAATACGATGTTCATTTATCTGTTTATTCTCAATATATGATGTAAATATATACAAATCTTAATATAATGAAACAAATAATTCTCATCATTTCACATATTTCCCTGGGATGAATACGACTATACCAGTTAACAAAACAGAAGAATAAAAACAAAAAATACTCAATATACCAACATACAATAATATTATTCGTTATAATATATGTAGGTATATGTCAAATATTATCACCAAACTGAAAACCGTAATATAATAAGCAGAAAATATTATATGATAGGGGAAACATTCGCTCCTGTCCCAGCAGTCAGCTAGCCTGCAGGACCTAATCTTATAGAATGTGACTGTCAAAGTACCATTACCTGTTCACCTGGGGCAGAGGAAGCCAATTTACTCAGAGAGGGGACAGAATTGATGCCTCTCTCCATCTCTATACACATCAGATATCGTAAATTTGAAGAAAAAGATTAAATAAAGGAGATTTATAATTGATCTTGTGAAGAATAAACACCACGGTTTATTTCACTTGATGATTAAATACAAAGCAACTTGGAGGGTTTAGGTTAGGTTAGGTTAGGTTAGGTTAGGTTAGAATTAGGGGGTATTTAATCACCAGGTAAAATAAACTAGGAGTATCTAATCCCCACGTGTTCCTTTGTAATTCACACAATACTCTGATCAAACAACAACAATAAAACAATCAACTTAACCCCTTACAATATTCACCTTCAGGTCTTAAACCAAAATATTATTGATTACCAAATAAAATAACATAAATGAAAAACAATTCTAAAATCCCCCCAAAATATAATATAATCATTAATATTTGTAGGTTAAAAAGACCAAAATAAAGCTTTTAACTTCAAGACGAAATTTTACTCAATCTGTATTTTATTCAACCAAGCTTCTCTAATGCCTTACCTAACTCTGAGCTAAACCCAAGCTTAACACATATCTGTTCTTATACATCAAACAAAATAATATACTTCAGTCAGAATATTATACACTGGTATTATATAAAGAGGAAATAAATATCATATCATAAATGGATTATTATATTCATGTGAACCTCAACTACGTCAGCCGTTTCTATATTAAATCCAGTTAAATAATGTATTTTATCTTATGTATAACACTGTCTTATATATATAGTATAATGCACTTCAATATCACACATGGCCACTAAATAAAACATAACCACTAACTTAATTCAATTATACGTACCACATATTGAATTATAGACAAGACTCACGTACAGAAAGTTATACCTACCTCAGATACACTTAAACGAGACAGCATTACATTCTATTAATCTGAAATATTGTTCTGGTAATATATCTGATCTCTCATATTATAAACATTAAAATCATTACCAACATTCAAACTCCTATACCACAGTCTATGTTTATTTAAAATTCTATAAAATCATCCTGAACTAAAGATTTACCGAGGGAATTTTTCACCCTCATCATACTTGTCAATAACATATACAATATACTTGAATTATATTATTTTTTATTTTAATTTTACTGAATAAAATGAATAGTTTTTTTTTTAGATTTATCGGTCTCTACGTAATAGAGATGCAAGACCGACAAACAGTGTTATTTCCAAAGGTTTTATTCCATGTGTTTATAGAGGTTTTGAATGTTTACTGTTCTCAATATTAATATTCTGTTGAGGATTTTGATATTACGTTTTTCTTTTATAATTTTGTGTCAAGTCATTTAAATTTTGGGGATCACTTGAAGGTTCACTCCCTCAGTTTATTACACCTAAGGAGTCACATCCCCTTCAGCTTATTTGACCTGAAGATTCGCCCTCCTCAGTTTATTTCACCTGAAGATTCAACCCCAGCTTATTTCGCCCGAATATTAACCACCTTAACGCTTAACTAACCTAATCTAACCCCTCCCCCCCCCCCAAGTACCGTTAGGGTGGTTAAAATTCAGGTGAAATTAGCTGCGTTAAAATCCTCCAGAGAATACACAATATCCCAGAATTAATTAAAAGGTGCAAAATACAGCCAATACAAACATACGTAAACTAATCCCAAGATATAACAGTAGATATAAACAAACAAATTCCCACACAAACTCTCAACCATCACCATTTATTTGATTAGTTAATATCCGTCATTTGTAAACATTTGTCGAGTGGTAGAACGCGAAAATCCATATAGCCAATATTTGGTAAACCGAATTTTTTTTTACCATGAAAATAATTTGTCACTTATGTAAATTATGTAATGAAATATCATAATTCGGTTAGTAAAACTGTTCATATGATTTTTTTTTTAGAGTCGAAATATAATGTTATTGGATTAAACAGAATATCTATCACCTACATGGAGAACGCTTGGCTGATTCAGGTGTTAGAGACGGGAATTAATAACTAGAACACGACAACAAGTAGTAATTAAAACACTTACTATTAACTCGTATTATATAACAATTATCACGTATCACATTATTCACTTTTATAAGAGGCCAAAACTCCAGCTAAAATAATACTGTATCTTGAAAACACAATGTCTTTATGTGTTAAGTAGGTAACAATGACACTAGATAAGAGAGTTAAAGTAGGTCGAAGGTAGTGCCCTATACCTGGCTCACCTGAGAGGATTATTAATAACGATGATAAACAGGAAGAGGAGGGGGTTGGTTACCTGTCCTGCCTCCTTACCTTTTGCTCAACACTCGCTGATAAAATGCACTGATGAAAGTTACCTATAAATATCTCCTGTTGCACAGTATTTTGAGATTGATACGAAAGAATTTTTTTTAGATGTCTTAATTGTTAATATGATGGTTCACTTTGGTGCTTGGTGTTGAGTGGATCGGTTATTGCACGATGCCTTTGACTGTAAATGCAATGAAGTGCTTAACTATTTTGGGAAATTTTTTTTTTTATATATAGATTCGATTATGTAATACAGATTTGGATGTACTGGATTTATGATATTTTAAAAATCATGAAATATACCATGTTAAAATTTCACCTCATCTCAAACTGGTTTTTTTTCACACCACTTGAGAAATATGTCCAGTTTTATACGTTATTTTTTTTCCATTACTGTTATTATATTTGATGACTTGTCAGATTTTAAAATATATTCACCTTATAAAAAAAAATACAATATATTTCACACAATAAATTAAAGCTTACTCTATATTTCGTCAGATTTTTTATGTACCCAATACACAAAATACAGTAACGCATACAAGAAAATAAGAGCTTGCTGTAACCTGTAACCTGTTCTGTGAGGTTCTGGTCAAGTTGGC